ATTACCTTCACTTTCCATCCTCACACTAATTATAAATAGTATGTAAATAAGTAAAAATACTATAGCGTTATTACTCTTCAATCCCTTCGATATAACGAGGGAAAGTAGAAAGAGAGATTACGTTTTGTTGCGTTCTAAAAGAAAAGAAAAAGATGGTAGATGTTTAAACGAGTGATTAAATGTGACATTTGCCTAAGTAAATCCAAAATGCACATGGGGAACTGTTCGATATGTTAGATATCGCACAATGGTGAACGACAAAATTTAAAATTTATGTTTTTTTTTTACAAGAGGAAAATATTAATAAAATTAAATGCATTCGCAAGTACGTATAATTTTTTGCACTCAAAGAAAGGACTTCCACAATGGTGAACGACAAAATTTAAAATTTATGTTTTTTTTACAAGAGGAAAATATTAATAAAATTAAATGCATTCACAAGTACGTATAATTTTTTGCACTCAAAGAAAGGACTTCCACAATGGTGAGCGACAAAATTTAAAATTTATGTTTTTTTTTTACAAGAGGAAAATATTAATAAAATTAAATGCATTCACAAGTACGTATAATCTTTTGCACTCAAAGAAATGACTTCCTTTTTCTTAGACGCTCCGCTGCAGAAATGTGCCGGAGTTGCTCTTACAAATTTAAACACGTTGGTAATTTGAACATATGTTTTTTTTACAGTACGGATAAGGGTTGAAAGCCGCTAAAGGTTAAAAGTCTCGCGGTTTTGACGTCTCAAAATTGAAGATCGTAAATGGTTCCAATCAGTCGAAGAAGCTTTTCAAAATTTCGTGAAAGAAATGATCACCCATTGTTTTCCAAACAACGTTCCGCGCACGAACCAATTATTCTCGCCAGATCTAGATAAAAATTTTCGAACGAACGCCGTTCCGGGGAGCGGAACATCGGAGGTGCAAAGTAATTTCGTTTGAACGGCGAGAGACACCGGGAGAATAGGACGCGATGAATCCTCGCGACTTTGAATTCGAATTGTTGTGGTTCACTGAGCGCGGTTCGCTTTCCGTATTGATTAATAGAACGACTTGCAACTTACTAACCCCTAGGTTGAATTTTCTTCTTCTCGCGGATGCTGACGCCCTCCCCTCCTCCCCTCGATCGAAGAAACGACCAAACACCGGAAGCACTATCATTTTCGCTGTTGCTCGAAGCGGAAACGAAACAAACGACCCCCTCCTTCAGTCCTTTCCATCCATTCGACCGACATTTTAATTCTCTCGAGTCGTCAAATCGAGTCAAACGTCATTGGGGGAAACGAGTTCACTCATCGTCCAACTGATTGTTTCGTAATTGTAGAAATTTCTCGCGCATCTCAATGGAATTTCTTCAAGAAAAAAAAAAAAAAAGAAAAAAATTCCCAACGAACATCCCAATAACGTACGTGTCGCGATTTTTAATAAGGTTCCCTTCGAAGAAACATCGCACGAGAGACGAGAGAGGGAGGGTTTTTCAGCAGAAAGCCGGAACGGGTGTGCTTGTTGTGTTCCCATTCGCCTAATAGCCTGGCCGTTTTCGAGCGGCTGCAGAAAATGTCGGCGGACATTAACGCGACGGCCGTGCAATCAAAAGAGATTTATTTCTCCATCCCTGCCGTCCTATTCGTCCGTCGAGCGACAAAGGATCATGGGTAGATGGTTTTAATAAAATCGTAGCTTAAACAAGACCTCTCGGGACGTATTGTCCTATTGGACGAGAAAGAAAGTCGCCCCGGGGACGGCAGAGGGGGTTGAACCTAAATACTTCTTTCCTCTATCCGGTGGCCTTTTAATTTCGTACTAAAGTTCCCAGATAATCGGCGACAATGATCCAAGAAGCGTGCGCTAAATATCACGGTTGAATAAATTATCGATGGGATTTCGGCTAAGGCAGAAGGTTGCCAGTTCGTTTATTTTCGTGCTTTATTAAAGAATTGATCGCGTCGCTTCACTGGCGTTCCGCTGTCATCGAACCGTTGGTAAAATAAAAGCTAAAAATCGGCGGGCAATGTCCTTTAGATTTAGGGTTTTACTTCTCAAAGTGTGGGTCGCGACCCCATATGGGCAGCCGCGAATTTTAGCAAAACTAAAAAATTTCTGGACAACCGAAGATTAATTCGAAACTAGTTTGACGCCAAAGAATCGTTTTGCGAGTAAATTTTCTTTATCGAGAAACATTTACGATCATCGGCAAATGTTTCAAATTCGTATTCCTCTATATATACCCAGGATCGCGAAAATATTTGTTCGGGTAAAGGGGGTCGCCAAGTGAAAAAGTTGGAGATTGCTCTAGATAATGAAAAGGGCGGGCGTAATGACGGAAAATGACAAAAACCGAATGATAAATTCAGTAATAGTAGTTGACTTTCTGTTACGTAACCCGGCAAATTACACGAATCACGCTAATTGCGAGCAACGTCGTTCGTAAGCTCTTTTATTCATTAGTTCGATTCAAAGAGTCGACGAACTTTGTGTATATATATTATATATATGTATACGATGAATACTTAATCCCTCGAGATTAATCCCTCGTCACGTCAGACGAAAAAGCCTCGATTCTAAAGCAACAAACTCTCTTTCATCCCCCGCTAGTCACCGCTCATCTATCATACTTCAAACCCCCTTTGCGCGATCAACTCGAGTGGTAATTCGTTTGAAACGCAAACCGCGGCTTAAAGGGCAGTTGCACGAAAAACGGCATTTGTCGAGAAGTTTCGGGCATTAGGCGCGACAAATTCCGAATATATTTCGGCTTTTGGCAAAAGCTGTTGTCTAATTGTAAGTCTAACTATCTAAGAGAATTATTTCGAGAAAACAACAGCGACTTGTTCCCAAATCATAAGTTACAGAGAAATTGAACAAAGTCGAACGAAAATTGTGAGAAATTACGAGATATCCTTGCAATTATCAATTAGAGATTCTTCGTTTCGTTGAAAATTGGAAAGAAACTCGTACGTTCGCAAGAACCGATCTTACGTTCGTATACGAGGCAAATTACTCATACATAACGACCAATTACGACTTCCCATTATGTTGCTCTATTTATTATGTAATGTTTATCGCTCTCCAGAGCACAATTCGTACCGTGGGCATTATAAATGCAAATGAACCGCCTCTATTGTTCCCCCGAATATGCGTATAATATCGCACGCAATACAGTTAGATCGAATTTTATTATTACAACACGGTGTAGAAATATTTTCAACTGAAACTCACGAAAATTAATACATTACAATCTCTCCAAAGAGTTTAGTTTTCGAAAGATCTATCAAGACCTATTAAGATGCACAAGTAGTGGATCGTTAATTAATCCTTCAATTAATTTCTCGCGCTTAAAAATGAAAAGAGAAAAGGGGGAAAGTTTCTTCGACTCGTCGCTCGTATCTAACTGCGGCGAAACAATTTGACAAAATGTCTGATTCAATTCGCCTCCATTCAGATTCTCTCTGGCTCCTCTCGAGCAGGGCGTTGGAAACGGAACGCCATCATAGTCGCGTTATCGATCGACGTACGATATACCGAGCGGGTGAGAGTCGCGTGCTCGCTAATAATTTAGCATTCTTCAAATACAAAACTCGCCCAAGGCGTTCCACGATCGTGATTTAACGAGGAATCAACAACGCGGATCGAAAACGCCCGCCGGCCGGCAACGAATGAACTTTGCATTAACCTTGAACCACAGACACTTCCGTGGCACGCACCTTCCGCCGAAACTTTTGTTTCTCTTCATCGTGCGACGATCTCTTTTCCCCCGAAATTTTTCGAAATCGCAGTTCCGAAATTTGGACGATTCGACTGACCGACAATTCGTAAAGCTGCGAGATCGTCACGAAAATCGGGAGAAATTTTGTTCGTCTTCCTTGAAGAGAAGAGAAAACAATTTCTAGGGAAGAAGAACGAAAATTAATTTAAAGCATCCATATCTCGCTGGCGAATTTACCTTTCGATTTACGAATGCTCGTGAAGCAGGTGCATGCTTCATCCCCACCCGGACCCGGGATTCCTTATTACCGCATAGATAACGCGGCTCTTACGCGGAAGGTGTTAGGACGACACAGCCGCAATTGCGGTCGCCACGTCGCCAAACGTTCCACGGCGGTATGTCAGCTCGACACGTTAAACCACGAAATTCACTCTCTAAACCGCGCGATCCCCGTACTTGACGACTTACCGCGCGCCGCCATGATGTCCTCGGCAAGCTCAATTTTTCAACAACCCTCCCCTTCGCCTCCCGAATAAATATTTCATCGCACGACTCGCAGCAAAGGAATGGAAAACCTTCTTTCACGCAAAAAAAAAAAAAGAAAAAAGAAGAGAAACGAACAAGACTGAAGAAAGATTTTGGAAACGAATCGCTCGAGTCGAGACATACGCGATTAAAAAGCAAATTTCCCAAATCGAAAGTCACGCGATTCAAATTGGAAAGATTCTAAAAACTGTTGGTAACCAATTTTAGCCGAACGAATCGAAAGAAGAGCGAGATCGAAGGAGCGGAAAAACAATCTTTCGTCGTGTGAAAGAAAAACAAACTTGGAGAAAGATTTTGGAAACGAGATTAATCACTCGGGTCGAGTAACAGTGAATTTCGCAGATTAAAAGTCACGCGACTTCGAATTGGGGAGATTGTAAAAAAAAAAAAAAATTGGTGGTAACCAAATCTGAATGGGTCGAAAGCGTAATTTTATCGGCCGACGAAGAGAGAAAAAGGGAAAAAGAAAGAGGAGAAAGCAAGATCAAAAGAACTAGCGAAGAAACTCGGCGAGGATAATACGATTTAATCCCGTGCCCTCTGGTGACTCGCGGGATTAGCAGTACAAAGAAAGCGAAATGGGAGCAGACGAGATTGAAACTAGGCGTTTGATAAGCGTCGTCTAGCCGAATCAGGCGGATCGAGCGTCTCATCGGGTTTCTGTTTCGTAGCCACGAGAGGGGCTAATGCGGCGCACTAGAGAGCCAGGGAAGGGGAAATTCTTCTGAACGAATAGGAAATTGCATCCCTACCTGTTCTGTTGTTCGTCGACAGTGACAGACGGGAGGGTTGTTAGACGTTGGCCGAAGCAACGGGGTTGCTCGCCCCGTCGCGATGCTCACCGGTCCTCGAACCGCTCGAGAGCGGCCAGACCCTCTTTCGCGTCCTTTGATCTCCCAGCAATCCCCAAAACGAGCACTACGCCATGCCCCTCGGTCCTGTTCAATTCTCCCCCTGATTCCTCCTTCGGCCTACGCATGCCAAGAATTCTGAAACCAACACGAACGCACACGTACACACATCTGAAATGCCAGAGACCGATGGATTCTCTGCTAAAATGCGAGAAATGTCGCAACCCGCCCCCTTGCAGCAGCTACAGACGGCCCCTTTTTAATCGCAAAAAATACACTCTCGTCTTTGGCAAATTTCATTTCGATCGCGAGACTCGAGATGTATTATCGAGTTGGCCGAAAATTAATTGCGTTCTTTCCGCGTGTGTATCTCGTAAAGTATAATTAACTTCGTTTCAATGGCTAATTGTTCACGCTTGTTTCAGAAAAAGAAAATGTACAATTTCTTGGTCGTCGATTTCAAAAAGAAACAGTTCGAATACCACCGAAACGAGTAATTCAAAAATTATCCGACAAGTACGGATTTCATTGATTATTTTCTTTTCACTTATATATTTTATAATATATATTTTGGCTTCGCTGATATTTATTTTGAACGTTGTTAAATTAATTCTCAATTACCAAATAAACATTATTTGGTCAAATAATGGGTACTTTAATTTTATTAATTTTATTATTTTCCCAATGTACTGTTTGCTTCAAATTCCTTTAATTAACCAAACGAGTTACACACCGTGGCCAAATGTTAAAGAACACTGTTTACAATTTCATAAAAATTTCATTATTATTATTTTATAATTTAAACAAGTTAAATCTACAAGTTTAACTTGTTTAAAAATTTATCTACGAGTTATTGTTCAAAGTAAATTTCTGGTATCGATCTCCGGCAGCGGAGAACTAGATAGTCGAAACGGTTGTTAGAAACGAATTAATTGTACATCGGAAGCGTCAGCTAACGGAACGACACGTCGTTAATGCTTTCGTCTTCGACGAACAAGGGAAACTCGTCGCACAATGACAATTATTAACCCCCTCCTTTATGGCCCTTTTCATCATACTGTTAATGTCCTTCTCGTTAATATCCACAGATTCCACGTGGCTCGGCCATGCGAGCCATCGGCACCGTGGGTCGTAATAACTGTCAGGTGCTGGAACGTAATTACCAGAGCAGCCTGTGAAAGCAACACCGGTCGCCAGTTTCGAGGGGAAACGATTTGTTTTGTTACCGCGTTGGGGGAATCTATTGACGCTCCTCAACTCGGCGAGGATTCCGCCACGCCGTGCAGAATCTTGAAACGCCCGGTGAACGTCCGCGGAATTCCAAATACATACATCGGAACGTACAGGGTGGAAAGAAAAGTTTGTCCGTGGCTATCATAGATGAACTTCGGTTCCTTCGATTCGATGGGAATACGAGATCGAACTTAAATTAATTAAATCTCGACTGGAAAAATTCGTTCCTGATTTAATTTTTGAGAAAAAAGCATTACATTGGTTGACTTTCGAACCGCGAGTAATTACGAGTAAAAGTCACCAAAAAAAAAAAAGAAAAAAGAATGACAAAATGACATTGTATCATTTCACCTGCAAGACGAATTTAATGTACGAGAGAGTGAATTTGATTTGCAAAAAAAAAAAAAAAAGGTGGACACAATCTTCCACAGGGAAGTGAAAAATCTGCGACGAGCGTGGACAAACAACTTCTTTCAATTCGGAACCTCTGTGCGAACGAAGCGAAATTTTTGACGCCCAAACTTTTCACTCCCAAATGATCTATCCATCTCGACTATATCTCGCGATGAAAGAAAAATCGCCACTCCCTCGAAACAAAGGTTCGTAATTACTCCAGCAAAATGGGAGATTTGAAATATTCCAGGGGAATATGTACGAACCATCACGGCAAAGTGTACACGCCAGTTCTTTACATCACGGCCAACGACGTAACTCCGAGAAGAGGCTGAATGTTTAATCGATTTCATCGTCGTGCAAGCAGTTTCATTAGTCTGGCAGCCATGTTGCTTAACCGCGCACCCATCCACCCCCCCCCCTCCTCCCGCTCCACCCTTAAAACTACATTTTAGAAAGGGTAGCTGATACATGAGTAGATTAATATTTCGGTAAAATCATGGTTCACCATCGGTTCGAAGTATCAGCGACCGGAGAACGGGATTAACATAAATTCACGCAAAACCCTGTGCTCGCATGTTCCCCCGCCATCACGCGATACCGTGTTTCTTATTAGTTGCCACTGTGTTTCTGCCTCGCACGCGGCGATCCTTGTCCCCTCACCGACATCGTGATCATCTTATCGAGCAAAAAAAAATTAATAACTGTATCATTACAGTGATACGGCGTACAGTGGTCGTTTTTTGATTTCCTCCCTCTTTACGACAGTAATTCGTCGTCGTACTTCTCGTAGGAAAAATATTCTTAGAAAGAATGATATTTGAGAGAGAAAGGGAGAGAGAGAGAGAGAGAGAGCAACGACGTATTCTTTGGACTCGTTGAATCGAAATATTCGTAGGAAAAATATTTTTTTAGTAACGATGTACCGATTCTTTGGATTCAAAATTTGAGGATATGCAACGAAATTAACCCGTTTGCGCTGGCAACTGGTTGCGCGGACCATAACGAGTGACCGAACCGTATATAATTTGTACATCACTGGATAGAAATTATTAACTCTAGAAAGACCAAAGTATAATATTTGTGGCAAAGAAATTATAGCGTAAGATACAAGAAGAAATTAGTAATACGATAAAAAACACAAACTTCTGTTAATATATTTTATTAAAAATTTAAAAAATACGCTTTTATAAATATATAAAATTTCCATAGAAAATTATAAATTGGTCGTTTTGATTACTCTGGTAGTTCTAGTGTTAAGAAGTAATGAAGTACATTTCAATATACTTAAAACTGAGAAAATGTGGCAATTTGGGACAAAAAATTCTCGACGTGCGTGGCACGTCATTCCAGCGTAACATATTTGAAAAAAAAAAGTAAACGTGAATCGTGGCTGAATGGCGAGTGACGAGGAAGAACGTTCACCCCTCGTCGGAGAACTTAAACGGCTGGCACTTTTATCGACCAACGCCCTGTCATAACTTCCCATTACCTTTAAACCTTCCATGGACCGGCCCAGGGTGATACAAAACCACCCTGGGTGAGATATAAAAATTTATCTGGTTGCCCGGGTTACCGAGCTGTGAGAAAAAGAAGAAACAAAAGGCGCAAGTGTAAGCCCTGTCTGTCTCAATTTCTCCAACACCACGTCGATGCGGTGAAACACAGACCTAACTACCCCTCACTCTCATATTTTGGGGGTGGAGGGGGGAGGGGGGGGGGGGAGCACGAGCCACTCGCAGAAGGCTGGGAACGTGCCTCGCTAAACGACGTAACTTTTATCGGCCGAGCATCTCGGCTTCGCAAACTGAGTTGTTACGAGGAGGACTGAGGCGCGCGAAGAAGAGGTTGGAAGAGGTTCGAAGTCGTTTAAACTTCAACGAGGGGTTTGGCGCCCGGGCACCACTTACACCCGAATTGCCCGAAGCACCACGTCGTCGGGGGAAAATAAAGCGGCATCGCGCGCGAGGGGATTCGGGACGACATTCATCGCATCAGCCGTCGCGTTTACACACCTTCGAGCGGGCTGAGAGCAAACAGGGGCCAGCAGAGTGTGCAATCTCAGACAAACGTCTCTGGCGTCCCTCTCGCCTGCAATTGCCCTTTTTCGGAAAGGATAGCCGAAGGTAAGATAAGCTCGTAGCGAAGCATCGTAGGCCACCGGCGTGTTTAACGCGTGTGAAACATTTTACGACGTCACCTTACTTCCGAGGGCGTTTGCAGATTGCAAATTCAATTAGTCGCCGATTCGCGAATTTTCGTTCGATTCGTCTCGAATTACTCGAAACTACTACGTCTCGGTGGATTGAAATTGAAAGTCAAGACGAATCGAGAGCTGCGAATAGAGGACTCTAATAAGAAAATCAATACGCGCGCGATAACCCTTAATCCGAGCGCGAACTCGCAGATATCCATCAAACTTAATCCCCCTTTAAATCTAGGGAGCTTGTCTGACAAGGTTGTCAATCGATGTTTAATCTACTTAAAGACACCAACAGCGACAGCTGATTTCCCGGTTGAACTTTTGACAGAGAAAAAAAAAAGAAGAGAGAGAGAGAGAGAGAGAGAGAGAGAGAGAGAGAGAGAAACGTCGAATCTATTGCTTCCATCAGACTGTACTCAATCTTATTCCATCCCTCTCTCCGGATTTCTCCTTAATTTAATCGCTGAAACGATAAGAGGAGCAATGGGAAACGTTATTGGAATATCCGCACGAATGTACGATAAAAATCGCCAGTCAGAAATAGTATCAATGGAAAACGCGATGGATCGCAAAGTCGTGCACTCGCACAGGGGCATCGGAACGTATCCGTGATTCGAATTGGAAATGGGATCAGTCTGGCCGGTAAGCCTCACGTTCTACATTATGTTATTAATATGCAATTTGTCGCTGCTAATCGTTCTTCTCTGGCACGTGAAAAGATACTGACCACCAATATCTGGGGTGGAATCGATATCGCGATCGGCACGGCTACCACTCTGTTTAATCAACGAATCTGCATGGTCCGAAGTAACACGCAGTATGATTCAATCAAATTTCGTTGAATATTTCAATAACGGCCGATTTAATTTTCCAGAAGGGGGCACGTAGCTCGCGTAGATCGCGTACGCATTTCCCTCTTAAAAAAAACTCATATCGTTCCCTCCCAGGCTCGCGCGAATTCCACGAATTTCGTTTCCCGGGGCCGTAAACGACGAAATAATTCCCGCCCCGGCGCTACGAAATTTCATCGGCCCTGGATTATATTCAATATTCCGTGAGTAACCGTCCCGTTGTTATTATTATAACAGCAACAGTCGTCCCTCTGGTTTTAGAGAACCAGGTAAATTTCGAACGTTCGCGGCTTCGATAACAACACAGAGGTGGCTAACTGGCGGCCTACGAGCCCTTGCCCCCACTTTCCTCGTTACTAACGCTACCCCCTCCACTGCATCGATCTCTCCACGCGATTTCGAAGAATCACCGAGAACCGCCGAAAGTTTGCTCTTATTCTACAGTGAAACAAAAT